GAAATGCAGGAAAATTCCTACCTAACCGTGGTCAGGTGGAGAGCTGGTGGTTATAGTGGAATTAGGAGCTAAGGGCAGATGTAAGACCCCTGAAGGAAACGAGCAGATACTCAAGTATCACTCTGATCCGGACGAAAGCGCTGAAGCCTTGTCTGGATCACATCCCTAGGGCTTGCCTACCTCCCTTTGACCCACGATTCCTTCTACCCCTATCCGCAGGTGGGGGAGGAGCGCAAGCCGCGACACTAGCCTTCTGTGGCCGTCTTTGATCCTCAGACCGAGATGGACCAGGACCCCTATGCTTGTTCAGGCTTAGACCTGGACCATCGTGAAATGAAGGACTGAAGGCCGCTGAGCGCGCCTTTGCCTCCCTGAACTTCTGGACAACCGTCTCAACGGAGGTAACCAAAAATATTCAGAAGGCGAAACCGGCGCATCGAGAAGAAAGCCCCACTCTTCCATCCCGATATCTGCCAGATTCACCCACAGATGTCTCTCAATACCTACTATAGCTATATGCTTAGTAGCACAGAGAGTGAGATCTGTGGTGCGGCGAAACTCAGCTACCTCATCAGGCCTTTATCCAGGTCTTCCAGCAGGTCAGCCTAATATGCTTGGAGCACCGCATCGTGCGTAACGAAGTAACAGCCTGACCTGCTGCTGCGTATGCCCTGCCATCTAAACGAGATGGCAAGGAGGGAGTTTTAAGAGAGGACGTCTCACCCATAGAAAGATAGCTTGCCAGTCGTCTTTTTTTAAAGGGAAATCCTCTCATAGTCGTTTCCGCTCATCGCCTCGATGTTGGCATAACTCGTATGCTGGAATCAATAAATGCATAAGAAAGATAACGCTCCTGCGATCCCCACAAGCCCATCCTCCTCCGTGCCTCAGCAGCGGTGGGTTCTGAGCCGCGGGAAGCAAATGGCTGCCCCCCTTTCCTTGAAAAAAGAGACAAATGAGAGCGGAGCTTTTCAATAAAATACGCTCGCAATGAACGCGGATTGCCCCCTCAAGGACATCGCGTGCGTGCTCTTTGCCCAAACAAACAACGCAGAGATCGTGTGTGTCATCAGGTGTCAAATAACAACGACGCAGATGCACACACCCTCTAAACGCTTTGCTAGTGCTCGCCATAACAATAGGAATATAGATCGCTCTTACCATTCGGAAATGCACGCTTCAAACAAAACGGTCAGTGAAGACGAAGAAGAGAATGACATGTTCTCCCAGTGCCTATTTATACTATAGTCGCACCGGTAGTGACGTCATGGGCTGTCGCCGGCCAACGTGTTGTTGGTGTTTTTTCAATGTATGCTTCAGACACGGGGTCACGATGAGGCGTTGCCCATAGCGACCCCCTAGAGGACGCAGTTCGAAGTTCCCTTGAAAGGGAACTAGTTGTGCAGACTAGATAGACTGGAGCTGGGCCAGAAGAATGCTATATGGGATTGCCAAACTCTCAGAACTTAGAACAGTGTCTAATAATGTCAAAGGTGTAACCCAATGGTCAGAGAAATCAATATAATTTTTACAATTAAAAACAGAGGTAGAGCATGTCCTGTGGGAACAACCCTTAAGCATACCCCTAGTGTTTCTTATTTCTACTGGGCTCCAATAGGTATGGCAGGAAGGAAGCAACCGTTTAATGTGTTGCTGTCGAAACAGTCCTACGCTGACGTATTCCACAGTGTGAAAGGAGTGAGGAAGTAGAGCAAGTCTTTGTTGCAGCTTGGTTTCAACTCGTTTTGCATTGAGGGAGAAGTTTTATGTTCTAAAAATTACAGGTTGTTCTTAGAGTACAATGAACTGTTATATGTTGAAAGATCAAGGAAGATTTGATTATCATGATAATTAAAACAGGACTTGTGCCTTGAAACTAAATGTAAATATAGAAGAAAGGGTAAAATACTGTTCTTCAGAGATAATTTCATTAATATCACTTATCTTTAAATTCTCAACTATGTTTCAGCTGAATGGCTGTGGCTCCCAGCAAAATTTATTTATGTTAAGGTCTTTACTTGTAATACCACAGAGTTTGGTTTCAGGGTTACTTAGTGTGTTTACCACCACTGATGCTGTCTGGTAAAGAAAAGGTACTGCACTACTAACAGAACATAGACAAGACCCACTGTGCCATTTGGCCTCTTGTGGAATTGTGTGGTAATAGAATCCTCACAGGATAAAAGTAATTTTATTCTGTTAACATTGTTAAAGAACATGCAATATTCTCTGCAATTTTAGACAAAGATTAACAAGGTGAAAAGGTTAAAAAAGTTTTAATAGGGCTGTCAGTTGACTAAAACAATTAAACAACTAATATCTTGATTTATTGTAGTTTAGTTGCATTCATTACATTTTAAATGCAACAAAACAAAACACAGTATACGCAAGAGTTGTGTTAACAATTTTGAGAGGATGGCAATTATAATTTAAAGCCAAATTAAATGAAATAACATAAAACATGTTTAGTTATTTATACTGTGTGTGTTAACATCGTTAACTTTGACAACTCTAATTTTAACTCATAAAATGTTTAATTAAGAACTTGTATGTAGAAATACAGGAGATATCAGGAGAAAAATATAAAATTACAAGCACAGTTTAACTGTACATATTACTGTTTGCACAGAAGTAAATAACTCACAAATATGCTTTTTATCAAGCATTAAATCTACAAGCAGTGCACTCTTGTAAGTTTACCCAAGCCATGAACCACCATCATTTAATGTTCTAACTGCTTGATGATACATGCAGGCGATATCAGTTGGTCCTCCGTTTTCTCGTCCTCATCAATAAGATGCTGAATATAACATAAAGTTCCTACTAAAACATTAGTCTGTAAGCCAGTAGTCTGCATAGTGAAGAGAGTCCATTTTAAGGCTTCCCTTTTAGCGGAGAGAAAGGATCAGTAAGACATAAGACTTTTATGTTTACTTTCTATAATATATTAATGTAAATGACCTTTTTAAAAAATAATTTATGATCTGTAGTTTTGTATAATTTATTATTGACTGCACTTTATACATACACTTTGTACAAGACTGTATTTATATACCAGATGAGTGAATAGGTACAAAAACAAAATGAAATGATTATAAGTGATAGAATACCTTTTTAACATTATTAATTTAGTTTGGTTAAATGTTTTTAGTTTACATTTATTTTAATTAATTGATCTCACAAGTTTGTTTGGCAGCTCGAACTACTGTTGCAATCATGAATAAAATAGCGATCTCGAGAAAGCGTTTTTGTTAATGTTGATATTATCTCATTTATTTATGCTTTATTTTTCCAGGAAGGTCCCATTGAGATAAAAAAAAAAGTCTTCTTCCAGGGAGTCCTGGCCAATGGCCTGTGCTGGCTTACATACTTTAATTGTTATATTATTATATTATTTCATTCTCTCCCTATCTTAAACTACAGACTAGAGCTTCTAATGACACACATGGACACACATGCACAAACACACTTACCTTAGCATTCTTTTTGCCTTATAGCACTGCAAATCATATGAAACAGTACATTCCATACAAGGTTGCCTGCACATTTAGGCAGCCAATAAAATCCTGTGGGTGGTTTTTGTAGAGATCAATGGTCAGTTTGGCAACATCTTTCCTTGACTTTTTCCAGCCACATCCAGGACCACTCTTGGTATTATGTTTCTGTGTAGTAAGGATATGGAGAGAGAGAGAGAAAAACAAGATTTTACTTAAATGTTGTACATTTTGGAAAAGGATACGGGGGTGGGGGCGGGGACTTTTATGATGAAATTTTGATCTGTTAACTTCCTTTTTTTAATTTTGTAGTCAGGTTGTAGTTTATTTGTTGATTAGTTCCTTGAACGTCTGCAGGTGTTCCTTGTTTCCTTCATTTAGCCCTTGAATCCCATTGTGCTTTGTTAGGTCTTGGTTGTATTCCCTGGTATTTAGATCAGTCAGGACCACTTTTGAAAATACATTTATTGGGAAGAGTGTTGAACTTGTTTCTCTTGCTGTAAATTTGCTTTTCTATCAGCATGATGCATATTCATTTTGAAAAATGACCAGTTGTCTGTGATTCGTTCACTTTTTCGCATTTGGCATGAACGTGCCTTAAAAAGAGCAGCCAGTATTGTGAAGGAAGTTGGTCCAGTATTATTATTATAAAATAATTGTGGGTCTTGTAAGTAAATAATATGGATCTGTTCCAAAAGTGAGCTGCTTTCAGAGGCAGGATTCTAAGGCACTGTATGTGCACTATGCAAATGTCATTCCAAAAGGTAGGTATCTAAAATATTCTGTCTCCTAAGAAAATTTCTATGGAACCATTGAATATATCCTTTGCTGGGATGGCATCAAGATGAGTATTATTTATAAATATAAGTATCTATATTCAAACAATAACAACATTTGCCACCAATATATCTGTACTGTATCTATTTTTTTTGTTTGTTTGTTCAAGGGCAGCGATTAACCTCAGGCCTTAACTCTGTGTTCTCTGTGCTACTCTTTGATTTTAATTTTTGATCTAGTGTATCATCATAAAGATGATTCACAAAATCATAAACGGTTTCATCCATGTCATGTCTGAAATTCAATATGAAAACCTTGATCTGTTCCTGAGGAACATGCGCTGGTTGCCTAGGAACATGCAAAGGTCACATGACTGAGATGCTGCCTATGTAGAGCATTCCAGATTGATCACTTGTGATGTACCATAACCTTTAAAAAGGTTTCTAAGGAGGCAGAAGAGAGAAAGGAATCTAACTAATGCAGGCTTTGGAAAAGAGCCTATATGTTAAATGTTTCTGCACTGTACTCCCAGAGTCCGTGTTTTTTCTTTTTCTCGCAATACACAAGAGAAATGACAATAAAAATCACTTGAAATGAGATATGCTTTAAGGAGGTTCACTCCATTCTTCACACTTACCCTTTCTACTTTCTTCTGACCTGGAAGGTGTCTCTGAAAAAGGAAAAATAATGTGTCCTTTATGCATGTGTTGACAACTAAATTCTATATTTTGCTTAGCAATGTGTTTTAGATAATGCAACATCTTAGTTTGCGTAATTCTTGTAATTATGCGTAGTCTTGTAACACTGGCTTTCTAAAGCCACCTGACTTAGACTAGACTTATCACATGGTTGCATGAACATTTCAAAACTCCTTCACCTTCGACACTGCCTGACACATTACTTTTTTCATGAGAAATAGGTAAATAAGCTGAGAATAGAAAGGACTCTCAGGTACACTCTTAAAAATAAAGGTGCTTCAAAAGGTTCTTCACAGCGATGCCATAGAAGAACCATTTTTGGTTCCACAAAGAACCATTCAGTCATAAAAAAAAAAGTCTTCTTCCAGGGAGTCCTGGCCAATGGCCTGTGCTGGCTTACATACTTTAATTGTTATATTATTATATTATTTCATTCTCTCCCTATCTTAAACTACAGACTAGAGCTTCTAATGACACACATGGACACACATGCACAAACACACTTACCTTAGCATTCTTTTTGCCTTATAGCACTGCAAATCATATGAAACAGTACATTCCATACAAGGTTGCCTGCACATTTAGGCAGCCAATAAAATCCTGTGGGTGGTTTTTGTAGAGATCAATGGTCAGTTTGGCAACATCTTTCCTTGACTTTTTCCAGCCACATCCAGGACCACTCTTGGTATTATGTTTCTGTGTAGTAAGGATATGGAGAGAGAGAGAGAAAAACAAGATTTTACTTAAATGTTGTACATTTTGGAAAAGGATACGGGGGTGGGGGCGGGGACTTTTATGATGAAATTTTGATCTGTTAACTTCCTTTTTTTAATTTTGTAGTCAGGTTGTAGTTTATTTGTTGATTAGTTCCTTGAACGTCTGCAGGTGTTCCTTGTTTCCTTCATTTAGCCCTTGAATCCCATTGTGCTTTGTTAGGTCTTGGTTGTATTCCCTGGTATTTAGATCAGTCAGGACCACTTTTGAAAATACATTTATTGGGAAGAGTGTTGAACTTGTTTCTCTTGCTGTAAATTTGCTTTTCTATCAGCATGATGCATATTCATTTTGAAAAATGACCAGTTGTCTGTGATTCGTTCACTTTTTCGCATTTGGCATGAACGTGCCTTAAAAAGAGCAGCCAGTATTGTGAAGGAAGTTGGTCCAGTATTATTATTATAAAATAATTGTGGGTCTTGTAAGTAAATAATATGGATCTGTTCCAAAAGTGAGCTGCTTTCAGAGGCAGGATTCTAAGGCACTGTATGTGCACTATGCAAATGTCATTCCAAAAGGTAGGTATCTAAAATATTCTGTCTCCTAAGAAAATTTCTATGGAACCATTGAATATATCCTTTGCTGGGATGGCATCAAGATGAGTATTATTTATAAATATAAGTATCTATATTCAAACAATAACAACATTTGCCACCAATATATCTGTACTGTATCTATTTTTTTTGTTTGTTTGTTCAAGGGCAGCGATTAACCTCAGGCCTTAACTCTGTGTTCTCTGTGCTACTCTTTGATTTTAATTTTTGATCTAGTGTATCATCATAAAGATGATTCACAAAATCATAAACGGTTTCATCCATGTCATGTCTGAAATTCAATATGAAAACCTTGATCTGTTCCTGAGGAACATGCGCTGGTTGCCTAGGAACATGCAAAGGTCACATGACTGAGATGCTGCCTATGTAGAGCATTCCAGATTGATCACTTGTGATGTACCATAACCTTTAAAAAGGTTTCTAAGGAGGCAGAAGAGAGAAAGGAATCTAACTAATGCAGGCTTTGGAAAAGAGCCTATATGTTAAATGTTTCTGCACTGTACTCCCAGAGTCCGTGTTTTTTCTTTTTCTCGCAATACACAAGAGAAATGACAATAAAAATCACTTGAAATGAGATATGCTTTAAGGAGGTTCACTCCATTCTTCACACTTACCCTTTCTACTTTCTTCTGACCTGGAAGGTGTCTCTGAAAAAGGAAAAATAATGTGTCCTTTATGCATGTGTTGACAACTAAATTCTATATTTTGCTTAGCAATGTGTTTTAGATAATGCAACATCTTAGTTTGCGTAATTCTTGTAATTATGCGTAGTCTTGTAACACTGGCTTTCTAAAGCCACCTGACTTAGACTAGACTTATCACATGGTTGCATGAACATTTCAAAACTCCTTCACCTTCGACACTGCCTGACACATTACTTTTTTCATGAGAAATAGGTAAATAAGCTGAGAATAGAAAGGACTCTCAGGTACACTCTTAAAAATAAAGGTGCTTCAAAAGGTTCTTCACAGCGATGCCATAGAAGAACCATTTTTGGTTCCACAAAGAACCATTCAGTCATAGGTTCTTTAAAGAACCATCTCTTTCTTACCTTTTTGTAATCTGAAGAACCTTCTTTCGCCACAAAGAACCTTTTGTGAAACAGAAAGGTTCTTCAGATGTTAAAGGTTCTTTATGGAACCATTTAGACAAAAAGGTTATTCTATGGCATCGTGAAGCACCTTTATTTTTAAGAGTGTAGGGCTGGGTATCGATGCAGATGTCCCAATTCGATTCGATTTCGATTTGCAAGCTCTCGATTCAATTCGATTCTCTATTTTTTGATTACATTCAGTGAATATAGTTTTAATACAAATGCTATTGATATTTCTAAAAAATTAACAGTAAACATGAGTTTACAAATGGTGAATTAATAAAAAGAAATTAAGAACCACATGCCTGTATTTTAAACCTATTCTTTTTTTGTATAGGGTCCTTTTTTAAACAATGATAGGGCCCTATAAAATGTTCTTAATTTTTCTGGTAATCAGATGAAGGCATAAAACATTAATTTAATTTATCCTAATCAAATGAAAATTAAACCCAAACAAATTGCTGCACTACAGAGGTTTACTGTTAAAATTAAAAAGAAAACAGATCTGATCCTTTAAAAATAAAGATGTATTAATATTTATTAGCAGTAGCATTGAGTCTTACGACTGCTAAATAGTAATACATTCTGACAGTTTCTTAACGTTAAACAAAACATTTATTTTGACGGGTTGCCGTGAAGAACTGAAAGCTGCTGTGTATGTGATATGACGGTAGTTTTCTCAAATGAAACGGTACAATGCTAATGAAGTGACTCTCAGAGCAGCTGGAAATGACATTCGTGTTCATATCATCATATA